GAACATGATTTAAAGTTTGCCTGGAAGGTAGTCTGTGTACTGTGTAAGGCAGAACATGATTGAAAGTTTGCCTGGAAGGTAGTCCGTGTACTGTGTAAGGCAGAACATGATTGAAAGTTTGCCTGGAAGGTAGTCTGTGTACTGTGTACCTTTTCTTTGGTTATGTCATTTTTTGTTAGTGAATGAATGTTGGTTTATCAAATAGGTTCCCATCCTTTTTTTTTTTCAGTCATGGTCCCATTTTGTTCAAGCAAAGTTTCCCTTCGACCACAATACATACAAAAAGTAATATATTGTGTTAGAAGAAAACACATGGAACATAATTTATTAAATGGAAGTCTTTTGAAATTATTCAAATTTTATTAAGACAAAGAATTCAAATAATTGACACATTTTTGTTGTTGCTGTTTTGTTGTTACTGTTTTGTTGTTGCTGTTTTGTTGTTACTGTTTTGTTGTTACTGTTTTGTTGTTGCTGTTTTGTTGTTACTGTTTTGTTGTTACTGTTTTGTTGTTGCTGTTTTGTTGTTACTGTTTTGTTGTTACTGTTTTGTTGTTGCTGTTTTGTTGTTACTGTTTTGTTGTTACTGTTTTGTTGTTACTGTTTTGTTGTTACTGTTTTGTTGTTACTGTTTTGTTGTTACTGTTTTGTTGTTACTGTTTTGTTGTTACTGTTTTGTTGTTACTGTTTTGTTGTTGCTGTTTTGTTGTTACTGTTTTGTTGTTACTGTTTTGTTGTTACTGTTTTGTTGTTACTGTTTTGTTGTTGCTGTTTTGTTGTTACTGTTTTGTTGTTACTGTTTTGTTGTTACTGTTTTGTTGTTGCTGTTTTGTTGTTACTGTTTTGTTGTTACTGTTTTGTTGTTACTGTTTCAGTCTGACAACCCACAGCATTTTCTGGACATCATGTTTGGGGTAGTCACTCATCTTTTGGGGACCAGGGGTAGTCACTCATCTGTTGGGGACCAGCGGTAGTCACTCATCTGTTGGGGACCAGGGGTAGTCACTCATCTGTTGGGGACCAGGGGTAGTCACTCATCTGTTGGGGACCAGGGGTAGTCACTCATCTGTTGGGGACCAGGGGTAGTCACTCATCTGTTGGGGACCAGGGGTCTTATAATGGTACGATGTGGTCTGTGGGATGGATCATCATTTTGGAATTATAGTAATAGTATATTTCTTCTCATAACATGAAGTTCATGATGAAAGATTTCACATGTCCGAACAATAAGGAACTTTTCAGTAGTAGATCACATGCATTGAGTTGTGATGGTCGCTAATTATACGCTACTCGACGTGGGTGAATACATTTTCTGACACTTAAGCCACCAGAGTAGATTTCCAACAGTTTTTACAATTTTTATTTTAGATTAGATAGCTGATTTGCATCAACTTCACTATGGTTGGTGTGAGCCAATGCGGTTAAATCATATTGTGACCCCCCCCCCCCGGATGTCCCCATGGCCCTCCCCTACTCCCCTGTCTTTTGTACCAGACTAAAGTTATCGTCGTAAAGTTACTTGTTATAATAGGAAGAAAAAAAAACACTACGCGCTAAGGGGTGGGTTACCGGAAATTTGATCGACAGAAATTTCGTCGACGGTAAATTGATCGACGGTAATTTGATCGAACGGAAATATGATCGAAACTTTTTTTCAGTTCACACGTTAAAATTTTCGCCAAATTTCTTTTTGAACTCACTAAACTATATAGTAAAACAAAATAATGCGTTCAAAAAGGAATTTGAAACAAAATTTTAACGTAAAAACTGAATAAAAGATTCGACCAAATTTCCGTTCGATCAAATTACCGTCGATCAATTTACCGTCGACGAAATTTCTGTCGATCAAATTTCAGGACACGAAGGGGGGTGTCCATTAATTATGTCAACACCTCAGGGGGGGGGGTATGGAAATGTTTGACATTTTTTTCACACGGCGTAGGTGGGGGGTTCAGATTACTTGACGTCAACAGTATGTTTTCTCTATTAAAATTTTAATCTTAAAATTGAATGGTTATTTTATTATTTGAAAAACAATTAATGAGTGTAAATAGTCTTATAATTTTTAGGCTCTAAACAATATTAATATATATTGCATGTGTGTCTGTCTGTGCACTGCCGATGGCTGGTCAGAATGTTAGCACGTAAGTGTAAGTACAAGAGAAATCAAAAGTTGGCCTCTCTTCACTTGTAGATTCTGTTTGTCGCAAATGACAAGGGCGGCATGTTTGCGATCATGTTGCAGTAATGGAACAAGGACAATGTTCAAGTGTCATGTGCAGCCACGATAAATGATATTGATAGTGCAGGAATACGATATTTTTAGAATTAGTGGAAGGTAAAGTGATTAACAATAATAGCATCGCTGCTTGAATGGATTTGCAAAATATGCAACATCTATTTTGCATCACAAGTCATGTTGAAAAAGCATGTTCAACAGCACCGACAATGCTCTCTAGAGCAAAGAAATTACCACCAGATCCTCAACACAAAAAAAAAAAAAAAAAAAAAAAAAATGGATTCAACCAATGCGAGTAGCTGCAAGGAGATAGAGAGAGCTTATGGCAATTATTGCTCACGACGACGATGTTTCTATTTTAAGTGCTCAATGGTTAGATGAGGGTGATGTTGACTGGTATATCAGTTCCGCAAGATGAAAATTATAAATCAGCTATTATGCCCATTGTCACGATAGAGCAGCGGTCACCAAACTTTTTTCACAGAGGGCCGGATTACGGAAAAAATGACGAGCGCGGGCCGGATAATCATTCTGTACAAGACTTGCAAGCCAGAACGAAAGCTCCGGGGAAAAAAAACGAAAAACTAAGTTTAGTGTTCCATGTTAATCATGGGTGAGTGGCGTGCAATGTACAAAAAACAAAGAAAACCAACATATTTATTTAATAAAAAGTTATAAAAGAAGGCGAAGTTAGGAAAAAGATAGTTACATTAGACCTAGTTCGCACATATTCGAATCTCAAAAACTAAGCAGCAAAGGGGTTAATGAGATTTGTGAAACTGACGTTCTGCTTTCAAGATATCATCAATGTTTGGTTTGGAATTGCTGCATCCGATCAAAAGAATTGTTTTCAAATGTTCATCAATCCCTCTCGTTCGATGTGTTGACTTCACATACTTTATTTTTTGAAAATGTTTGCTCACAGCCATAAGTTGTTCCGTGCATGCTGCAAACGGATGCCAACTCTTCCGTTATCTAAAAGTCCTAATTGACACCACAAGTAAACACGAGAAGTTGTGAGAGATCAGTAGACTTATCCAGTGCCAGAGATTACCGCAGCAAGTTCACAGCTTTCCCACGTATCTGTAGCACTAAGTTCTCTCCAAGTTCTTCTGTCCTCCGTACAACTAAAATCGCCGAAAGGCAGTTAGTTCCATCCGCGGCGACTACGATTTTTAATGTCCCCGTATCTTTCCAACATTCTTCTTTCTTTCACCCATTTACAGTTTGTGATAGTTACCAGACTATAATAGATTAGCGGGAAAATGCTTAATGGAAATTGTATCTTATTTTATTATTTTTTTCAAACCAGGTTTTCCTAAAAAACAACAACCTCGTAGGTTTTTAAAAATGATGTCATCATTTGTTTAATTAATTCTTATTTAAATACATCTTGTTTTATGCTCATCTGACTTCGAGTTTGAACCACGTTTCATTTCACCAGTAACTTTATTTTTTACCGGTGATATACTGTGATAATGTGATCTGTACGTCCACTCAATATAAATTAATATCAATAGCAAATACATGTCTTCAAAACAAAGTGACCGCAGATTGTATTATAAACGTCGGTCAACTACTTTTAGTAGTTAACTTTTTTTTACGCCAGCTTAACTTCGATGCGAATATTAATTTTACATACTGTACGTTTATTTATTTACTATTAAGATACCGTATTATACGATTTTAAAAGATATTTTACGATTTTAGGAGCTCCAGGCTCAAGGGTAAACAGGTCTGTAATAAACAAGAAAATCTAGTTACAATGACTTAAATTTGAAAATGGTAAATTTAAGGCGCACAGCAGCCAGGAGATCTCTGCACGTTTGAAGATCTCCTAGTATTCTAAACATAATATTGACATTTAAATTGCATCAAAACGTCTCGTGTTCCATTCGTTTTATCAAACAAATTCAAGTACCAACGGCGGGCTGGATGAACTGGCCTCGCGGGCCGAAGTTTGGTGACCCCTGCGATGGAGCAACACCTGGCTACTCCATGGGAAGATGATAGCAGCTAGAAACTATACACCAATTGTCAGTTATACTGACAAAAATTATATTTATACTTCCACAAACAATGATATTTAGTCTTTAACAACCTTTTAATTTGTTCTGCATTATAAAATTTAAGTGTAAACATTTTAACTTGTTGATTTACAAGTTAAACATGTAGCAAAACGTTTTTCCTACAATTGTATGTGTCATTTAAATAGATGAGCACAAAGTCAAATGTATTTATATATTTATACATTTATACATTTATACATTTATACATTTATACATTTATACATTTATACATTTATACATTTATACATTTATACATTTATACATTTATACATTTATACATTTATACATTTATACATTTATACATTTATACATTTATACATTTATACATTTATACATTTATACATTTATACATTTATACATTTATACATTTATACATTTATACATTCATATATTTATATATTTATATATTTATATATTTATATATTTATTTTACTTTCGAGATAAATGTAATCATTCAAAAAATCCTTTTACATTTATTTTTTTAAAATGATAATTAGTTATTCTAAAAATTTTTAAAATTGCATAAAAGAATTAACTATGTATGCATGCATATTTGCAAGCCTACCTGTCGTTTGAGTAATGAGTGTCAAAGTGGTGCATGCTTTTTTCCCATTGTTGATGCTAGCATTTATGAAAATTTTATAAGGAGTATTCCTCGATAAGCCAGTTACAGAATATTCAACAGCACTGTTCGACGTTTGGTTGACTCTAGGGACTGTTACCGTACCAGCCACACGAAATATGGTGGTCCCCAAGTCTTGATATGTTACACTAAACGTCTGTGGTTGGCCACCATTGAAGCCCGGCTTCCATGAAAATGTTAAACTGTTTTCCAATATTCGAAGGACCTCTAAATTGTAAGGACAAGCTAGAAAGATAATAGTTTTCACTTTAAAAAATAAAAATAACAGAGGGTAATTTAAAAAGCGAATTTAAAAAAAAATGCATAACTGAAAATCTTTTGATATGTTTTGTGAAGGGAAAAAATACTGTTAATATATTATCATTTACGACTAGTTAAATGTGTAAATTAAATTTAAAATTTAAAAAAATATTCCTTATTGGGTATTGGTACTTAAAACAATTTAAATTTTTCATTGGAGCATATTCTCATTGTTTGCCCTAGGTTAAGCGTCTTTGCTTGTTTAAAGCGACTGAGACATCTAGAGTGTGACCTGACATCAGATGTATGATTATTTAAAATGAAACGCTTTTCCAACAAAATTTTATTATAAAATAATTGTATCCAACACTTTAGAGTTATTTTAGCCATATGACTAAAAATGTGTTAATTGCAGGACATATTTGGAAAAAAAGTCTTCTTATGTGTACGTTTATCTCTTGGAAGATGTAGTAGGGAAAAAAAAAAGTTGGTTGAAACATAGATAAATGTAATCATTCAAAAAATCCTTTTACATTTATTTTTTTTTCAATGATAATTAGTTATTCTAAAATTTTTTAAAATTACATAAAAGAATTAACTATGTTTGCATGCATATTTGCAAGCCTACCGGTCGTTTGAGTAATGAGTGTCAAAGTGGTGCATGCTGTTTCCCCATTGTTGATGAAAATTTTATAGGGAGTATTCCTCGATAAGCCAGTTACAGAATATTCAACAGCACTGCCCGACGTTTGGTTGACTCTAGGGACTGTTACCGTACCAGCCACACGAAATATGGTTTTCCCAAAGTCATGATATGTGACAATAAACGTCTGTGGTTGGCCACCATTGAAGCCCGGCTTCCATGAAAATGTTAAACTGTTTTCCAATATTCGAAGGACCTCTAAATTGTAAGGACAAGCTAGAAAGATAATAGTTTTGAATTTAAAAAATAAAAATAACAGAGGGTAATTTAAAAAGCGATTTTTAAAAAAAAAAGCATAACTGAAAATCTTTTCTTATGTTTTGTGAAGGAAAAAAAAACTGTTAATATATTATCATTTACAACTAGTTTAATGTGTAAATTAAATTTAACATTTTAAAAAAATATTCCTTATTGGGTATTGGTACTTAAAACAATTTAAATTTTTCATTTGAGCATATTCTCATTTTTTGCGCTAGGTTAAGCGTCTTTGCTTGTCCAAAGCGACTGAGACATCTAGAGTGTGACCTGACATCAGATTTATGATCATTTAAAATGAAACGCTTTTCCAACAAATATTTTATTATAAAATAATTGTATCCAACACTTTAGAGTTGTTTCAGCCATATGACTAAAAATGTGTTAATTGCAGGACATATTTGGAAAAAAAAGTCTTCTTATGTGTACGTATATCTCTTGGAAGATGTAGTAGGGAAAAAAAAAGTTGGTTGAAACATTGGACAAAGAAAATCTTGTTTGACTATGACATGCAACAGCATTCAATGTTAGAGGGGATCTGTCTGTGGTAAACAATGTTTCTATCATGTCGCTTATTACTGGGAACGAGTAACCATGCACACGGAAAAAGCTATAGTTATAGTCTATTGTCCTTATCACTATCCGTTTCTGAGATATCCGCAGAAGGTTTCTAAAGTGAATGTCACTGTCGATTGACTTACTATTAAGTTTTGCGTGTTATCGGGTGAGTAAGTGTACAAACATTACCCTTAACTTGACATCTTGATGTGGGTCGAAATGAGAGGTTAGATAGAGGTCACTCAAGGGAACGTGGAGATAAATTTTGCCTTACTGATCATCATTTTTTATTTGTTGACATCGGAGATAGGTTAAAAGAGCAAAGTTTTAGCGCAATCGGACATCAGAAAAAAGTTCCAGATTTGGATGCAAAATCACTGCTAATCTAATGATCGTGGGTTTGTTTATTGTCATTAGAGATGGGTAAGAGTACACAATTTCATTTCAATTTAATCCCAATTTTAAAAAAAAAATTAAATATATTTAGTAAATTCTATTTTCGAAGTATGTAATAGGAGATCAGAATGTAGAGTGAAATTTATGACTAAAATGAGTATGGGATTTACAGAAAAATTAAATTGTTGCTGGTCAATGATGACCTATCAGTGGACCAAAAAAAAAAAAGGATTGACATCGTTTATTATTATCGAGAAACGGAAACGATTTGTACGGAAAGCTGCAGTTAGAGCCCAATGTTACATAACTTACCGTTCCTGAGATATCTTGAGAAAATAATATAGGGTCGATCGAGGTCATTGGTGACACGCTGATCATTAAGTGGTGTATTGTCATCGGGAATCGAAAAAAAGTTTCGGCACATTTGGAGATAAGGATGAGGGTAAAAAAGGAGATGCAGGATAGAATTCACTCAATGGTGATTAGACCTCACTAGTGACCAATTGCTCATAAAAGGTTTATTGTAATTGTGTGTGCAAAACGTAAAATGTTATAGCTAGTTCGCACATAAGAATTTGGGTCAAAAGATGATACTAGAAGTACCATAAGGGAAATATATGTTCACATATGAACCACTGATCATGAACATTTTTTTTTTGGTAATCTTTGGTGGGTTGGTGTAAAAAGTTTCAGCCCAGTTGAACATCTGGGACGTTTTTACCTTGTTGATGCAAGATTTAATGCGCAAAGGCAACTCAAGTGTTAAATGTAAGTCATTTGGGACATACAATCGAAGCAGTTACTCTATTGGACATAGGCAGATGTCAAAAGTTAAATATTAATTTGACCTCTAGAAGTGTGTCAAATATAGATGCTTGTTTCCAACACACACACAAAAAAACCCCAAAAAAGTAAATGTCAACCAAATAAAAGGCAAAGAATAGAGATGGTTGCAGATTGTAAAGCTATCTCATTAATAATAATCGATGTGAATGTTTTGGGTTGCATGTATATGAATATTTATATCCCAAAAATTTTGCTTATTATTTCATAGTGTAGTTAGATGTAGCCGTTATTTTACTGTCTCTTATACTTTCGTTCTTTATATTTAAAAAAAAAATAATGTTCACTTTATTTTTGCTCGATAAATACTGAAAAGTTTTTCAAGGAAATCTATACACTTCCTGTGGCAAAAGCTGTTTTCAACATAGGCGGAAATTTGTAATTTAGATTCTTAAACTTTTGCGAAAATACACAAGTCAATTTGTGTAAGCTCTGTCAAAAGAAACTCTTTTGATTGCAATGAAGAAGCATTGCGGATGAAAATGGTAAACGCTTGTGTAATGCCATTTATTGAACAAAATCAACCACGTTGGATATATGTTTTTTTGTTGTTGCGCAAATTTATACTTTGTGTAGAAACCCATGTTTATAACTTTGTAAAGAAATTTGTGAAAATTACAAGAACAGTCAAATAGTAACACCAACGTGTAATAAAGCAGACCTTAACGATTATGGATTGTTCAGTTAACTGAATTTGCATTGATTGTTTTTGTTTACATCTGATACTACAATTGCTTTAAAGTGAAACTTTAATTAAACGATCAATATAAATGTGTAGAACGATTAACCAATTTTATAATTTAATTTTTTTCAGGGTTATATTACTTTTTAAAAAAATCAATATATATATATATATATTAAAAAAAAAAGATCATTGATGTGAAAGAGTAAATTTTTATAATTGCTTTTTTAGATTAAGTTTCCTTATATTAAACGAAGGATAATTTTGTATATATTTTATTCAACACTTGATTAAATCTGTATTAAATTTAACATCATCAGCATGCTGTTAACCTTATACACATATTCATACATAATATGATATACCTTTGCGTGATTTAAATGTTCGTTATTTTGTTCGAGTTTTATATTGTTATGTAGCTTAATTATTGATTGATACTATTAAATATAATAATGAATGTTACATTTTTCAATGCAGAGGTAGGGGATCTTTATGCTGCATGGAGCATCGTTAACATAGAATGATTTTAATAGACTTGCACAGTCCTCATCTCCACCATGATAATATGGCTCATTGTTGGGCTCTCCTTCTGCCCAAAGCTGATCAAGTTCCGTAGCTTTTTCGTTTGAGGCTGCCCAGATAAATTCGCGTTCCTTGTTTTCGTCACTTGCTCCGATCCAAACTATAATTAGGAAAAAAAAAAATATAATTTACATAGGATTAACTTCCATATGGTTATATTAAATAGTCTCCAACAAAAATTATCTTTACTCTTGAATGTCATGTCTTCTGAACAGTTTTGTCAGTAAGATGTCAGACCTTATAAATCACCAGTAATAAAACATATTCTTTTACTTCCAGTAACCCTGGTTTTGAAAAATCTAACTTAAGGCATTGACGGTGGCCATTGCTTAAGTTTTTCCCAATTTTCGGTCTCATGCCAATCTTTCATTTGTCCCGTCTGCTGACGAAGGCTCTAAGCCGAACGGTTCTGATCTTATTGTCCTGTCTTTTGTTTCAAGCTTCCACATTCCTTGGCCTACTATTTCCTGAACATCTATTACCGTTTATATTTTGTTAAAAAATTAAATTCGTCGATGTAGACTTCTTAAAACTTATCCATGGCTTGTCAAGTTTGAATCCATAAATAAATCTAATCTACTCTGCTTGTGTATTCAAGCAATTTTGATAACTTTTGAAATCCATTGAGTTTTTTAAGGTCTACAATCGTGTTTATTTGCAGAAAAAAGACATACTATATGCATGGTAATCTATTTAAAGGGCCATCATAAAAAAACAACACCTTTTACATTTCCTTAGCTAAAAAAATAGATTACGTACTGTTTTTAACAAATGTTATACTTACAGGTATGTATTGATACTGATTAATATATTTAATTCTTAATTAAATACAAATTACTCAACATTTTTTCGCGCATTTTATATTAATGGAGAATTGTAAAACATATTTTTTTATCTAAAGAAATCGAATTTGGAGATGGTATTGATAAATATATTCTAATTTTAATAATTATGTAATGTTAACTTTAACAATTTTAACTTTCAGAAATTAAGTAAATTGAACTTTTTTGTAATAAAAGAAGTATAACATGGTCAATGATTTTTATTTTTAACAATGAAAATATCAAATATTTAATGTTGTTGCTAAAATAAAAGTAGAGACTTTTTTAATGTTCTTAAAAGATTGTCATAACATTGCATGTCTTTACTGGGACAATAATGATAAGCACACCGCGATCATTCTAACTTCTATTGCTAATTCTCAACAACTAAAACTCAAATTTTTATTCAGGTAATTTAATCTTGTTTTGATGTAGTATATCTTCAAAACAATAAAAAAAATTATAATTAAAAAAATTAAAAATCTAAAACCACAATTCCTTTAAAAATGGTATTTATAAATATACATATTGTGTTTCTTGCATCACTGAGTTTTAAGAAACTTTTATCTTCTATAGTTTACAGACCTACTCACCCTTTTTTCTTGACACTGAATACAAAAAAATTGATTTTTAATTGTAAAATTGTATAGTTTTTACGCATAAGTGGTAGGATTTTTTTAGCCAACCCCATTTATATTCCTTTTATTTCTATTTTAATATTGATTTCCCTTAATATGGCATTCCTGGTATTGTTTTTAAGAATCTGGGCACATTAAAATTGATTCAATTTATAAGTGTTTAAATTTCAGCTTAATGTAGCTCTTCTTTATATAGTACTAAAAATTATCACCCGAAGGCATCGAGATAATAATGTCAGTACTTTGCGATAATTTCAACCGGCTATTGCGAAAATTTATCGGAATATTTTTTAAAAAGAAGTATGTATGCACTAATGTTTATGTTCCTAACATCAAGAAAAGTTTTGAGGAGTTCTTTTCTGATATATATGATAAACCTACCCTGCCCCTTTTCGCGCCAATAACGAAGACTTTTTAATCTAAACATGACCTTAAATTATCAAATATATTATCACTTATTAAATCATTAATATATCTAAAGGAGGTCATTGAAGACTTATTTCTACGCTAAGGAATATATTAAATGTCATGTGTTTTTAAATTTTTACCTACCCTACCATTTGTGGTGTCCCTAAACTAAATTTGTATTTCTAAAACTTGTGAAAACGTAATCTTTCTTAAATTAACAAAAAAAACTCTATAAATAATTTTAAAATAATTTTCTATTGACGGAATTTTGGATAGTAATATCTTCATTAAAAATGTTACAATTTTTGCATGCGTGTCTCCAAAAAATCCTAAAACAAACAATTCGTTTTATCTTAAGAAAAATCTCTTAACCGTTTTTCGTGCCTCAAGAGCCTTGAGTGTCTTTTTTCACAGAATTGTTATACATCTCAAAACAACGTAAACCTCTTTACTTTTAACAATATCTATTTCATTTTTCAAAGAAAACATTAACCCTCACTAATTTTCAATATTAAATGTTCACTTCTTGAACATAATTCGGTTTTGATATTAATAATAGTACTTTTGTAAATGTACCCACGTTTTGTTAATGCCATTGATTTTCTTTATTGTTCAACATATAGTTATTTCTAAAAAAATGTAACGTCTTATTTTCACAACTTTAACATCGTTTGATACAAACGTATTGTCATCCACGCAAATATGTACACATCCTAATTCCTACCTATGACCTGTGATGCACCCTCCTTGCCCTGCCTCATTTTCTATCTCGGGTTAATCCTGTAATATAGGCCAAAACGTGCCAAAGTGTCATCGTTTTATGGCCATTTTAATTGTTTATATGGTATAGTAGTTACTATCCTAATGTCTCATTTTTATTTTAGCTAGTTTACATGTTTTTAATAATTGTAAAGCGCTTAGAGCTTTAAGGTAAGCGCTATATAAAAATGCCTAAATAAATAAAATATAAATGTATCTAAAAAAGATTACTCATTTATCGAAGTTATGCTTTTATTCTGGGTTGTATCTTCTGCTACCCATGGCTAATCGAAAGAAACGGAGCCCCACCAACCCAGATTTTAAAACAAATTAATAACAATATCGAGGGTATTGTAGACCTTTAGGTACGCAAAACACAAATTTTCCTAAACTTTCTATGATGGTTATTTTTGGATGAACGAAATGTGCATCAGTGAATGTTATTTGGCTATGGTTTCGCTGACTGGCTTAAAAGTTATTTTCTCATTAAAAGTTGATTTAAATTTTTAATTTGGTATTACTTTATATATATATATACATATAATAAATAATAATAATAAAGTTCATTTCAAAAACACGCTTCATCCCCAAAGGCTCGAAGCGCGGTACAAAGTCAACAAAAAACAAATCTATAATGTACCACATTTAAAACAAATGCAACACTACAAAAACTAATTCCAAGCATACAATGTCAAAGTCTTTCAACCCATTTCTACCGTGAGCAACACAGCAAATATGCATTAAATATATATATATATATATATATATATATATATATATATATAAATATTTATATATATTTATATATATATTTATTTATTTATTTATGTATATATATATATATATATATATATATATATATATAAATATTTATATATATTTATATATATATTTATTTATTTATTTATGTATATATATATATATTTATATATACATTAATAAAAACTATTTTCTTGAAATAAAAATTATAAAATGTTAAAAATACAAAACTATTCTTTTTATAACCAACTAGCCTATATACCCGGCGTTGCACGGGATTGGATTAGGACCTCGATACTGGTTGACCCCGATCCAATTCTGACCCCGATCTCGGTGTAGTCCCGGTTCCCGTGTGATCGCGTTCCTGGTGGATCTGTTCAAGGTTAAGAACCCGATGGGATCCCATTTTCTGGTTGGATCCTGATTCCGTTGGGATAAAGATTATGAAGGGATCCCGACATATTTGGGATCCCGTATCAAAAAATTCGTTAGTGATACTGAGAGAACAATAAACTCCGGGGCAGTATAGAAATGTATAGACCTAACTAACATTTCAATATTCCCTTACATCCCACTATATATCTCCTTGTAACAATTTAGACTTTTCTGGAATATTTTAAATTAAATTTAATTACCTGCTCAAAAACATGTGTAAAAACTAGTTTTCAAATTATTTTTTGAATACGATAAAAAATCTTCAAAAAATGCCATACTTATAATCCTTTTTCTTTTAAATTAATCAAGGGGCCCCGTGGGGGGCCCATTCCATAACTGTACCGATCTAGTTATGCCTGAGATAGGGGGCTCTATACATATCAGACGGATAAATAATAGAATTAAAATTTAAAATTGGTCCCTTTAAAATCTACTTAAAAAAGCCAAAGATATAGCTTTTTAAAATGATCCAACTTTCTGGAACATTCTAGAGTGGATATTATTAAATTCACATATAATTCAATAACGACTAAGAAGCCTAATGAACAAATCTAGGCATAGATCTATAAATTCACATAGAACGTATACCGTTGTATAACCCTATCGCTATTCAACAGCTTATATAAAGAAAAATGAAATGGGGCACCCTGGCCCCAGAGAAATGGACATTTTGAATTCAGTACCCTTCGCTATTTGAATATGGATGCTCATGATTATGTGTAATAAGTTTCGCCACGATCAATCTATTCATGTATGAGTATTAAGCCTGTTGAAATTTATATAGACAATATAAGAAAAAATTGAAACGGGGCGCCCGGCCCCAAAGGAATGGATATTCTTAGTTTAGTAACTTTCGGTTTTTTTGGAATGGATAATTAAGTGCATGTGTACTAAGTTTGGTCAAGATCCATCAATGGAGGTAGGAGTATTTGTTGTTATTGATATTTATATAGCTCGTATAAGGAAAAAACGAATTCAGGGCCCCAGCCCCAAACGGAATTTGACAAAAACTTCATGACCCCTTAAGAGTTCTTTTCGGATCAAGATTGATATATGTGCCAAGTTTGGCCAAGATCCATCAATCCATGTAAAAGCCTTTCTGGAACAAACACCGCCACAAAACCCACAAACATTCACTTTTATATATTTATATGATTTAAAAGCAACCAATAATTATCTAAATTAATGTTACTTCTAAGAAGGCAAAAGTACATTATTAGTTTTGTAACTTGTTGTTAGTAGATCAAAGAAACTTAAACATTTTGGATAAAGTTGGCCATTCTTGCTGTGACAGCATTTCCGAGTTTATTTAGAACAAATTAATTTTAAATTTATTTCGCAATGTTAACAAAGCACTAAAAACGAGCTAAAACAACTGAAGTCTGGATTTTCCGGAAAAAAATGTGACTTACGGTGTAATTCTTTGATTGCAATTCTTTTATTTAATACTTTAATAACATTTAAATGCATTTAAGATGCTTAAGATAGTTCCTTAGGTGTTGCTTTAAATGTACTTTTAATTTATAATAATACTAAAACTTTACTTCAGAAAAGAGGATAATTAATTTTTTTTTGTGCATTAAAATTTATTAGATATAAGTAAAGCAGCGGGCAATTACTATGATCGTTTTTAAGAATCCGATCAGATTTAAATAGTTACCGTTCTTTGCCTTCACGGTTAGCCTAGCTCATTCTTATATATATATATATATATATATATATATATATATATAGTTTCAGATATCAAGTTATTTTTAGCTATATATCATCTTCACCTTGTTTTTCTATCTCAAATTCTTGAAGAATCTCTCGTAAAATTTATTAGATATATGTAAAGCAGCGGGCAATTACTATGATCGTTTTTAAGAATCCGATCAGATTTATATAGTTACCGTTCTTTGTCTTCACGGTTAGCCTAGCTCATTCTTATATATATATATATATATATATATATATATATATATATAGTTTCAGATATCAAGTTATTTTTAGCTATATATCATCTTCACCTTGATTTTCTATCTCAAATTCTTGAAGAATCTCTCGTATTTGCTGCACAGAGTTAACATAAGCAAGTGTCATTCCATGCACATCACAGTTGGTCTGTATTAGTAACAAAAGAAAAAGTTTATATAATCGTTTACTTTTGTCTAACATTTTCTGCTATCTATTACTTTGCTAATGCCAATGAATTCATTGCACATCCTATTTACTATTCTATGTATTTTAAATGAACTTGTCAAAAAGAAATAAAGGAAGTAAAAATATTTTATTCCCAGAAAATACAATAATTGTTTTTTCAGAGAATCATTTTTTTAAAGATATACATTTTTTTAAAAATAAATAAATAAATACTTTTTCTATTTTAGTTTACGTTGTGTAATTTTAGGTATTAAAAATTAAAAATTTGAGCAATATATTACTCCAAAGAACAAATAATCATGTCAGTCCATATATATATATATATATATATATATATATATATTAAATAATTCAAAAAATTGTCTTACAAAGTACCATTTAAAAATCAAGCAACAACTAAAGATTTTTTTATATTTTTTATTATTTTTATTTGGGAAAATAACCCCAATGCGTCTTTATATGATGTAAAGAAAGCATAATTTTGATTTAAAATATAACATCGTAAAAAAAGTGGTTTTACCTTTGCTTGGTACCAATCAACTGGTGAAGAATTGTAGTTAAAACAAAGTTCTCCAACGCGCTTTGACCCCCTTTGTTTGCATGATGGGACGTTGCCTAAGATTCAAAAGTAAGCAGTCAACTGGCATTTATTAAACTAATATTTTTGTTGTTGATGAAACATTTAATAAAAACAAATAGTTCTTAAACACGCTCCTTACGATATATGAACAATAAATAGCATGCTTGTATCTAATAATTTGTATTTAATCTAATGCCCTAACAAAAACAATGTTATCTGGTTATTTCGTTGCTTATATTGACCGAACAAATTGATATACTCTATTTTTAAAAAAAATAATTAAAATAATAAAATGAGAATTTTTTTATAAACACTAACTCATATTAGTGTATATTGATTTCGTTGAATAGTAATTGAAAATAAAAACATTATCCCCTTAAACCTACCCTGCCCGTCCACAGGTAAGTGTAGACACAGAATGCACATAAACTGTAATACTGGCAGTGCTGTTACGGACACCATTTTCGCTGAAATTTAAAAAATATAAAAATAAATCAAATTAAATCAAATAATGATGCCTTCTTAAGTATGTGTCAATGTGTTAGAATCCCTTAGAGTCTCTTTGTGGTATGTTCCTTTGAAAAAGAATGGAGAGTTAGTGTTCCTGAACGTGGATCGGACTAGAAGCGTTATAATATCTTAAAAGGAGGTGATTCTAAAAGGTAGTACTGTGCAGGTGCCCTCAAGAATTTTTCCTCTACATGGTGCGACCGACTATTAAAGGAAGAGCAGACTCCATTAAGCAGAAAAACTCACATCTTGCATCCGTCTCAAACGGCGAAGGAGAGGGTTTGTTCGGCGAACTCTCACTTGGAGAAGATAAGAAAACAAAGCCTAGAACATTTATGAAACATTTTGGGTAGTACAATTAATGCTAATACAAGCAAGTGGCACTCGAAACCCCATTGCACATCACGGGTTTTTCGGCATAGCGCTGCACTTGCGCAAAGTGCCTAGGGCTACCAACACTTGCGCTACATCCCCTCACAGCGGAGCTGGTAGAGAGCAGAAACTTTAGTGGGACAGATACTTTGACCCTGAGAGTAGGCTTAGGACGTACGTTTTTTACCATCAATAGGATTAACATTACCCGCAGTAACACATTGCGCCTTACCTTGCATTGCAAAACAAATAATATAATTATAGCAGGGGATTTTACCCCCCTTTCCATATGGGGGATATCGGCTACGCGTCATAGCGTTATCTTGATGAGGTCGAGCTCACGACCAATCTCATAAAGCTGCAAAATGGTGACGCTGTTACTACACTGCACCATACAGGTAACAGTGCAATGTCAGGCCCAAATTTAACTCGGGTCCCGGCCGAACTCGAGGCCAGGATTCAGTGTGAAGTCTTGGATGAGATAGGCAGTGACAATCGACCAACTCTAATCATTATAGTCCTTGTATTAGTGAAACATTAGTTTGCATAGAGAGGTACTGGCTGTTCGGCAAATCCGAAAGGTGAAGGAATGGAGAACAAGATGGTGGAATCAGCAGGGATTCGATACCTCCGAAAGCATTGATGTTGCATACAATAACTTCATGGGTGGTGTTCTTAAAGGGGAAAAGGAATCAATTCCTAGAAAAACAGGTTGCACCCCTTTTGGAACAAGAGGAAGGCAGATATGATAAGTTATAGTGAGAAAGCATGGACCAAAGCGAGAAAAAATAAAGGAGTCTTTAGTTCATGCAGTCTACAATTAGTTGACAGGTGAGGTCCGTAAGGAGGTCGATAGATCGAACAAGTGAAAAAAAATGGGATGGTACATGCGAGAAGCTCAAAATTAAAGATGGCAAAAAAAAAAAAGGTCTTGCGTTTAATAGACTCATTATCCTGAATGAGAGAGGTCCGTAATCTGCTTCCATTGCAATCAACTACAGGCACGTCTACGAAATATCCAAAAAGTGCCGATGCTTTGAACACGGTCTTTGGAAAAAATTGATAGGAAGCAGGAGTCCGAAGATATCCAGAACCTTAAGTGTCTTCGGTAGCATTGGGGAATTGCCCAACTGTGGGGACCATATGCGGAATTTTTTTTCGTACCTTACAATATGACTGATTTGCAAACCGCTATGGACAAGTGCAACGCCGCTAAGGCACCAGTGTTGGACAAGGTCTGCAACGAAATGATTAAAAAAAAACTTTACCTGCTATCTAGTAGAGAGCTATTGCCAGTCATAAACGGATCTTTGGTAACAGGAATCCTACACATTGCTTTAGTTAGAGCTGCTCTCATCACTATTCCCAAAGAAGGGAAAAAACGCGTTCAACCGACCGGCTAAAGACCAATCTCCCTAATATTATATCTAGGAAAGGAAGCCGAGAGAATTATCAATCAGAGGCTTTACTGGCACCTGGAGAGTAGTTTCTTGGAAATTTGGTCACAATAAACGTGTACCATCAGCTGTACTTTAACAAAAATTGTAAATTGAAAATAGAAAAGTAAAAAAAAATGTATGCATTTGTCCTTTGTTGAAGTTTGTATAGAGGGAAGAACCGTGCATTTTTTTTTATTTATTTAACTTAAATCAGAATTTAGTTAAAGTACCTAAACGGGTGGGTTCATTTGATGAGGATAAAAATATCCCAAATCATCGTCACTTACACACCGAATATCTAATATGTCTAATGATTTTAAATGTTATGAAATCAGATTTAAAGTTATTTTTTTTGTAGTTTCTAGACCATTTTATATGAGGGTAGAAGGCTCTTAACTTTATTCATGTTATCTTAGTCAAAGCTATTCAATAAGAATTATGTTACAATACTAGCATCTACGTAAACTTCTGCATCCGAGTTAAACTTAGCAGACATGCATTTCATAATCGCTCCTAAAATGTCAAGTAATTGAAAACAAACAATAATCATATAATTTAGGAAAAAAAGGCGGGAGGTTCGGAGGGGGGTGGGATTTTGTTTTAAATAAAGCGTGTTATCAATTGCTTTTTTCAAACAATTTTAATGGAAAATATATTTTTTGCGTTGCGTTGTTAGTCATGCAAGTGGCCGGGGTCTTTAAGCATCGAAAGGACAAAACTTCTCTTCTAGACTGCCATGCAACGAAGATGCAAAGCCTCATGTGGACGCCCCGATGTTTCCTCGTCGACGCTCCGCTTCTGCTTAAAGATAACTAATAAAGATCAATACTCTAAGGAGGTCGATATTCTATCTCTTAGGACCTCGGCCATGAAACATGATCTCGAGTAAAATGGTGCTGGGCAGTTTGCTTCCACTCAACAAGGGACAGCTTTGCGTCACCACCCCCGCTGTCCATTGAGTCATGCGGTCTGGACGTTGTTTTGGAACGGCTTTGCTTCCTTTCCGGAGTTGGTGTTGTGTTACCTCACCCCACCGTCCAGGGAGCTGTACGTTCCTTGGTGTTGCACTGCTTTACCTCCACTCCGGGAGTAGTCTCGAGCTTAACTTTCTCCCACCGTTCCTGGGAGTTGTGTGGACGTGGGTCAGAACGGCTTTGCTTCCTCTCCGGGGAAGGTGATGCGTTACCTCACCCCACCGCTCGGGGAGTAGTTCGGGCGGGACTGTGTCGGGACGAAACGGTCACTTAGGAGCGGCTTTCTCAAGGCCGCATGTTTTTAATCCTCAACAAGGGTTTAGAAAACCCAAGCCTCATATCCATTATCGGCGACACGTAATCATGTTAGCGCACAACTTCCGTTGCGTGGGAAGTCATGCGTTTGGTAGGGATTTTTTAGCTTCAGGAGGAAACCTCCCTACTGGTCCGTCACGCCACGAAGAGGCAAAATCCCATGTAACACCACCGAGCAAGTGATGCTGAGCTTCGACCTCACAGTGCTCGGTCTCGGCCCGACGGCTTAAAGATAACTAAAATGTTCTATTCTAATTGATAAACGGTCATATCTTTGGCATTGTTTTATACTTTATGTGTAAAGGACAACTTCTAAAAATTAAATGTGTTCTTTGAAACAATATTATATCATAAAAAGAAATTACGTGTTACCATTTTCATAAACTACAGCTCGTTGCATTGTGTATTGGGGTTAAGGGATTTCAGTCTTCCTTTCATACAATTTTCAACCGGGGAAGGGGGAGGCTCATTTTTAGATAGGTGGGGGGCACTGACAGTGGTTGAAGACGTACTTAAGGGGGAGAGAAGGAACAGATACCCCCCATGCACCATACTAGCGGGAACACAAATATGGGGTGACCTGGTATTTAATGCATTAACATAATGGTTTTCAGAGTTGAGTGAAAAGGGGGGGGGGGGTAATGAGTCAATTAACCTGGCGCAAAAAACTCTAGCTACCAGTATACAAAGGAGGCAGGTTGAGTGGTCGGCCCGGATTTCATATTTTCTTTATAAAAAGGGACAGCTATTATAACAACAGCAGAGTTTGCATCGTTCAATGCAGCGTGGCATTCTTGATTAGAATAGTGTAGTACTAGCGCCAGAAACTTTACCAGGTGGTGTATCTCTCAGCGATAAAACTAGCTACTCCACTAGGCAGAGTATCAATCAGTAGTACCTCTCGCCACACAAATAGGTTATGTATCTATAAAAATACACATTAGCTACTCCACTAGGATGTGTCTATTAGCACCAACACGAGCAACTCTACTAGGTTTAGCATCAGCATTAACACTAGTTACTCGACTAGGTAGTGTTTCTATCAGCCATAACACTAGCTACTCCACTAGGTAATGTATCTATCAGCACTAACACTAGCTACTCGACTAGGTAATGTATCTATCAGCACTAACACTAGCTACTCGACTAGGTAATGTATCTAGCAGCCTTTACACTAGCTACTCGACTAGGTAATGTATCTATCAGCACTAACACTAGTTACTCGACTAGGTAATGTATCTATCAGCACTAACACTAGCTACTCTACTAGGTAGCGTATCTATCAGCACTAACACTAGCTACTCCCCTAGGTTATGTATCTATCACAACTAACACTAGCTACTCCACTAGGTAGCGTAATTATCACAACTAACAATAGCTACTCCACAAGGATGTGTATTTACCAGCACCATTACTAGCTACTCTAATAGGTAGTGTATTTAATAGCACTAATACTAGTTGGTCCAAAAGGTTGTGAATGTATTTGCACTAACATCAGCTACTCGAATATTTAATGTGTCTATCAGCAGTAACTCTAGCTACTACACTAGTTTGTGTATCTATTACCTTCAACATGAGCTACTCTACTAGATAGTGTTTCTATCAGCACTAAAACTAGCTACTCCACTAGATTATGTATCTATCAGCACTAACACTACCTACTCATTTATGTTTTGTATATATTAGTACCAAAAATAACTATTGTTCTAGGTAGTATATGTATTATCACTAACACTAGCTACTCTACTAGGTTGTGTATCTATTAGCTCTAACCTTAGCTACTCCCCTAGGTAGTGTATTTATTATCTCTAACATTAGCTACTCCCCTAGGTAGTGTATCTATTAGCTCTAACATTAGCTACTCCACTAGGTTGTGTATCTATTAGCTCTAACATTAGCTACTCCACTAGGTTGTGTATCTATTAGCTCTAACATTAGCTACTCCACTAGGTTGTGTATCTATTAGCTCTAACATTAGCTACTCCACTAGGTTGTGTATCTATTAGCTCTAACATTAGCTACTCCACTAGGTTGTGTATCTATTAGCTCTAACATTAGCTACTCCACTAGGTTGTGTATCTATTAGCTCTAACATTAGCTACTCCACTAGGTTGTGTATCTATTAGCTCTAACATTAGCTACTCCACTAGGTTGTGTATCTATTAGCTCTAACATTAGCTACTCCACTAGGTTGTGTATCTATTAGCTCTAACATTAGCTACTCCACTAGGTAGTGTATCTATTAGCTCTAACATTAGCTACTCCACTAGGTAGTGTATCTATTAGCTCTAACATTAGCTACTCCAC